AATGCATGAATGCTGGTGTGATACATGAGTTTGTACCATAGGCCCAAATCAGGCTTGGTGGTAACATAGGGTACACGTGTGACCAAGGATAGCAACCCAGGTTCAGAAAGCCATGAGTAACGCGATTTCTACCACTGCCGCCTGCTCACAATCGGCGCGAAACGCCAGCCGGGGCAAGAGCCCCCACAATACTAGAGACCGGTATCTCACTGAGTGAGGCCAGGGAGGGCTGGGTATTCAGCTGCACCCAAGGCCCACTTTAGCACCAGACCTGAACTCCACAAAGAATTTGTTGAGGCCTCTGAAACAACACATTACAGCAAGAGACCCTTCCCTGTAGCTGGAGGAGGGAGGGGGGTGAATCATGCTGTCCAAGAGGAATAGGATATGAAAGAGCCAGCTGATTGGAATGGGCCTATGGGTTGTACGGGGGAAAGACCCGAGGAACATAGAAATCGGAATGTCCTGCAGACTCGGTGTTAATTGCCAATACTTCTTCTCTTTCTCGTATATAGCAGAAAGTTTCTCCTGCTATAATCCCTGAGGTATGAATTTTTTTACGGTTGGTATCGTCACCCTACCCATCCATGGCTTCTGATACCAAGGCCAAAATTGTGCTCGATTGTAGTCCTATGGCGCGTCCGAGGCGTGTGGTATCAAACCCGGAGTGGTGGGTCTCTTGTGGTACGGTACGGTGCCGGTGGGGGATACACTAAGTCAGGGATAACAAAACCTTCCGTTTGCCACAAAGAATTCTGGTCTGGGTGAGGACTTAAGCTTGACGACTGAATTTCTTTTGAAGTCTTGCGTGAGCGTTTCTTATCACTAGTATTTAACTTAGCCTACTTCACTCAAACTGTGCGCATGAATTCCTACTCAGGCCATGCTCACACAGGGGTGGTAATTGCTCAAGTCGAAGAAAAATATGCAAGGACTCTATAGCTCCCTCTCCTAGCAAGGCGCTTTAGACATTCCTTTGTTTGGTCTCAACTGAAGGGGTTGTTTGCGGGGCTTTCCCTCGCGTGGCTGGGAAAAGAGATTCCAAAGTCCTTATATATTTTCCATCGGCTTGAATATAATTTTGTACTGTGCTTGGGTTAGTGGTGAAGCACTGGGACGAGGAGGGCGGACGTCGGTACAAAAGCGAAGAAAAAATGCCTATCACAGTTGGCATTGTTTTCCTTATTCGGTATCTAGGAGCTTCATCTTATACCAATCACGTAATTTTCGCACCTGTTCTCTATATCCCCCTGCTGTCCCAAAATTCTCCCCCACTCCCTAAATTTCCATACAAAATGCACGGATTTAGTCAACCAGCATAAAACTGCACAAGAATTTTCCTCCCCAGACAGCAGTCAGATAGAAGGGAACCACAAGGGATTTGACATGCGTATAAAATTGATATTTTGATTTTGATTATTCTACTTAATACTAATTGAGTGGTGGGGAAATGAACTTAGCAGGCATAGTTGCAATATAGATATCCCATACAAATTACCAGCCCCGCTAGTGTGTTGGCAATAAACATCGAGCACTCTTCAGCTGGAAACCTTCAGACCGGAAGGGCTTTTGTAATAGGCATTTAATCATGTGGGTCTTGACATCAAATTTCACTGCCTAAAAATTACCAGATTCTGCTGAGGTTACGAGGGTGCCCTGATGCCGGTCGAAAATGGGCACTTTGTACGGAAAGCCCGCTGGGTTTCCCCTTTTTTGCTCGCCGGGGTCGTACTGGGGCACATTACGAGATCGCCACAAGTGCCACATGCGCCACAGATGACTCCCCACTTCAGCGCAGATACGAATTGCGCAGCGGGAGAAGGGTTCACCAAAGTGGTAGGGAAGTGGAAAGTGGCTGGGTACCACAGTAAAGAGTAGCGGCTTGGAGGGGTATAGGTAAGGCGGTTTGCCATAGTGTTTGATCAGGTTTCAGCTATACAGGGTTTCCTATTTTCGTGAAGAGCTTGACAGGTGTAAAGTTTTACCTATGTATCATACCTTAAAGGCTGGAATAATTGGATGGTGCCATGCTGCTGATCTTTCCTTCTGCAGTAATGTCAGGATCGTTTTTTTTGTCTCAGAATAGGGCAAAGGGCTGTGTTTTCTCTGCTTCCCCCGCTTTTCTAGGGAAGGGAATTTTGAACTACATGTCACATAGTTTTTACGGTACAGGCCCAGCTCTATCTTCTTTAGAGGACAACAAGGGAACTGGGGGCGGGGATCTCCCATTGACAAACAATCAGGCAACGCTCCCTTTGCGTCTCAATTTTGTTTAGTTTTTTTCCCTTTTCTTCTGGGTTCACAAGTGTGACAGGCGGCCCTCTACAAGTATTCCAGCTATTTTTCCGCAGCTTATCCTAGGGTGTATGGTGAGGTGACAGTCAACTTTTCGCAGGGGCGTCAGCTCGGTTGGAAGCACCATCCAATCCCCGAAAGCCAACCGAGACACTTTCACGCCGGCGGGCAAAGTTTTGTCCGAGCAATAAAGAAACCTTCGGGATTATCCCATGGGGCTAAAAAGGTTTGCCGCTCATGATAGATCGCCCAAATCCCCCACAACCTCAACAGACATGAATGAGCATAACGCCACAGTGACGACAGAGTTTTTCCCCCAATGAGTACATAAATAGAGTGGGTGACAAGGAGTATTTATTCCCCTCCTGTAAGAATTGGGCAACTACTATCCTGGTCGCAGGTTTTCGGTATTTGGTGTAGGGGAGCCTGGGTTCGCGGGTCGAATAGAGTGGTTGATAACCGGGATGACCAAGAACTGTCGCTGGCAGAAAGCAGTACAGAAGATGTTACAAAGTGCTTTTACATACCCTTGGCAGTCGGAAGCGACGAGCACCATTAGTGGGCGCTGACAGCAGCGAAAGAGGTGGGGAGGTGTGCCCGATTGTTGGACTGGGTTTACTCCAAGGCAGACCTGCGATACAAGATTCATGTTTTAACGAGAAAAATTGTAATATAAGTCCAAGCCATGCCTGTAGAGTGAAGCGATAGAAAGAGCGAGAGGGTGAGTGCAAGTCAGCTGCGGTACCGGAACGGGCTGGTTTGATGACAACTAGTGCTTTCAAAAGAAAAGCCAAGTGATTGCGAGGCCCAAGGACCCACGTGTCCCCTACGCGGCTCTAGGTGTCGACTTCGGGCTGCTCCTCCCCTCTCTGCCTTGGCCAGGGCTCTCAATGGTCTAGGCGTACGGGCGGACCTTACCACCCGACAGAGAAACTGCGAGAGATCAGACCAGGCAGGGCGACTATTCACAGTCTCTTCTGTTCTGTGACTTTGGGGGCTGTAGGGTTTGGCAAGTATTATGAGTACGGTAATGTTTGATGTTATTCTATAGCCCTAGCACAGGGGAAGCAGGTGATAGTAGCAAACTACAGATTTACACCAGACGCTGCAGGGGTTGGTCAGTGTCCGTGGATGTCCGTGGGGATCTGAAATGGGTTATGGAGATCTACGGAGGAGTATGCTGGCCTATGGTGGGAGATCAACGGGAACGAACAGGGGGGAATGGTGAGTGGGAAGTGTAGGGAACTCCCCAACGAGCTATGTGGACCACGGTATGTATATGCATACAGCCTACCCTTGGAGTGTCATGACCTTTTTCACCAATTCGCCCACTTTTATAATTTATTAAGGGATACCTCCGGGTATGCATTTTTTGCCACAAAATAAAGAACTCGTGTACCTTCATTCTTGCGTCAATTGTGTTACAATAATTGGAAATTTGTTTACTGGCACAGATCCTATGAGCAGCCACTGGAGAGCTCTTATACTTTCCAAGGGTAGCGAACTAGCCTTACCAGCCCGGTCACACCTCTACAAGCCCAGCAGGACCCCTGGACATGCTTCTCTAGAATGCTTCCTGGGCGTGGTTCCTAGGGGGCCCGATTCGGCCCCACATTCTAAATACATCTTATCATCCCATGGGGGTCCACTCGTCTTGTTAAAATGTACAACTTCCTTTCTTATGACTTATGTGGATGATGGCTCATGCATCAGATCAACGATATGTGTCGGTTGTGCGACCTATGGCCACTCCCTTAGTATAACACGGAGAATATATCTTGAGTAACACCTGAAGGGTATATGGAGAAGAAAAATTTCCCTTTGTTTTAGAAGAGGCGGCGCATGCCCGGAGAATAAACCCCGAGTCTTTGCTGCATCTATTGGATTCCTAGTTACCAACTCTATGACAAGAGCAAGTGTTATGACAGATAATTTCACTGCCTACGTGCCCCACAGAAAAAAGCCCTAGGCGGAATTCTTGCCAGGACCACTTGGACTATGATCTGTGGTCAGTTCTCGTCTGACACTGGGGACCGAGGCGCTGCTCCGTTGCGAAACAGCCCTTGGATCAGAAGGCCTAAGTTTAATTCAGCTGACAAGAGCTTTCTAATAATGGCGTCAAGAGTTATGGGGGATGAGATATTGAGGCACTGGAACTGCCAATGGTGCTTGATCGAGGTCTTCAGTTTGGGTTACCCGGAAAGGGGGAGGGAGTTGTGCCTCACCGTACACATGCTGCGCCATGGATTTGGATAGTGGTACAGGACTCAGAAACAGAGCGGACCACCTCAAGTCCCACTTCGAGCATAAGAGTGCCATAGGCTAGAAGTTTATAAGCTAATGGGTTTCCTATGAGGAATTGTAGGAACCCCCTTTGCACGCATAAGCGCAAGTGCTCTTAGATAGCTCGAACAGGATATTCACTACCATTTGAATAAAGTTCGACTGGTGCCGGTACATTCGCATTTCCCTCAATAAGCATAGCCTAGCAAAGGGGGACCGGTGGTGTTATTTTCACCTGAGGTCTCGATAGACCCTGACAGTGCATGCGGTCCTAGGCTTTTTCAATGACTCAGTTCCGGGGGTTGAGATATCTAGGAATCCAGCGAGATGGGCCTTCAAGGGTGAGTATCACTGCCTGCAATTCCCATTCAAACTTAACCCACCATCCCAGAAGACCTAAATCAAATCTAATACCTACATAGGGAAATGAACATCAAGGATCCAAACACCGGAATGCAGGCACCCTTCGCTCATTATCGCCGCGGGTTCCTTCAGGAAAACCCCAGCTACTCATGTTATTCCTGCTTCTTATTTCAACCCCTCTTGCAGCGACTGAGAAAACAAACTTTGAACAATGCGGTGCACGCGTTAAAGAATTAGCGAAAAACAATTCCCTACCCCTGGAGGATATATACACCGGTCCCGTGAAAGGGTTGCTGGGCCGGATGCCGAACACCGAAAACCCGATACTCCACATAACCCTTGATGCCTGCGAGAAGCACTGTGGCAGCACACCACAATTCTACACCTGGGTAGAATCCTCCGATACAATCACGACCTGGGTGCTCCCTCTAGTCAGTCTGGTTCTCCAGGCGCCCTTCGAGAGCAATAACCTTCGACAAACGATATTACTTGTGTTCCGGTGGGTAGGCTCACCCATCGCTTCCATGATGTACATTTTCTGGAACATGAAGGTTACTAGGAAGTGCGCTATTATGGTTGACATGAGCGTGAAAGTGACCGAGCGGCAGGAGCAAGCCAGCCGCTTTGCTGCATTGAGGGACTCTTTATACCTCCTCAGCGTGATCAATCAATACGAGCTCAATATCTGCCCGGAGCTACCAGAGCACCACATGGAGGATATCCTTCGAGTAGCCCTGTTCGGTGGGGGGCCTGCGGTCCAGCAGGCAAGGGGCAGAGTCGCGGCAAGCATCCGGCGGGAACGCCGTCGGGGAGTTGTCCAAAACCTAGTATCGCTTGCCTGGTTTCTGGCGGCAATGGCCATCTCAATATACAAAGCCTTCGGAGACCTTGGGGAGAACTCAACTGCTCACAACCTTGCACTGGGTCTGCTAGTGAGCTGGCTCCCTGTTCTCGTCTCCGCGACAATCGTTGACAGAAACCCAATGGACTCCCACTACGTCCGCACGAAGTTGAACAGCTTTCTGCGAAAAACTGTGAAGATACCGCGTATCCCAAACGCATTTCCGGTAGTGAGAGAGCCAAACTTCTTGGGAGAGTTTGCCGGCCAAGCGCGAGTCCGCTGGCATTCCGGTGCGGCTCACCCAATCCTCCGAATAATGGAGGCTACACTCGATATGAGGCGTGATTGGTTAGCGAGATACCCGAACACCGACGAAGTATTAGCCACCGCAACCCACCCTCGCATCTTGATATGCGACAAGAGCCAAGGATGGCAGATCGCAGCCGCCATCGTAATTGTCTTCTCCTGCAGCATTGGCGCCTTCATCGTCAGCTATTTCACATCCACTATCGGTCTGGGCTGCCGCTCCGGAGGGTACATGATCTTCGGTCTCAATGCATTCTTCTGCCTGTTCGCCGAAATGACCGCATGGGTATTCTTAAACCCGGGAACGCAACGGAGGGTAGCACAGTGGTTCCTACGCTTCTGCGAATTCACAAACTCTTGCTGGCTTGTGTACATTATCATTGCGCAGACTTTCGGTATCTACAATAGCTGCTATTGCAAGTCGAGCACGTGGGGCGGCGGAGAAGGGTACGTTGACTTTGAGGATGTGCAATACTACAAGTCACACAACATCGAGATCAGTTGGTTACTTGGTGCACTCATCACATGCGTTGTCTCAGTCATTGGGCTTCTGTATGTAGTTGAGCAGTGGTGCACACAGAGTTTTCTATGGACACAAGATTGGGACTCGGCCATGAATGGACTCCAGAGAGTAAGGAAGTGGAAGCGAGCAACTGCCGTGCCCAGGCGGATGGGCTATCTGATGGTTAAGTGGATGGTGAAGGTTGAGCAATGGGTTTTTGCTATTTTGGGGAGGGAGAGGGGTGTGGAGAATCACAGTTTACGTTGGAGTCAGTGAGTTTTGGCAACTGTATCAAAGCCCCTTCGGGGCGCCAGCAAATAAGAAAACAGAGTTTTTTTTTTTCCAGAAAATGTACTAGGAAATTGAAGGCCAAAAAACAGTGGTTATTCCTCTTTCATCATGAGGGACATCAATAGCTGCAGTAGACATGCATTGAGGAAAGTTGAGACCCCTTAAACTAAGTGGCGCAACACCGCCACTTTGCCTCACCCGCGATCCTGCGGTGACCTTTACAAACCCATTCACGAAACCCTACAGTTCTGTCATAAAGCCCACGGCTATGTTCGTCGAGGGTGCATAAATGATACAAAAAAGACAATATGGATGAATTGTCACCCTAGAAACAGATTATTGGGCAAGGGGTTACTTCCCGGGGACCTCTTGCGGGCATTGGCAACTACCTAAAGCACAACACTTGGTAGAATGTCTTGTGCCCTGGAAGTGCTGGTTTCACCTCTAGATCGGTTTCCATATAAATTTCATTATGATACTACATATCACAGTCTCCGTATATCACTCGCTGACTCCCTCCTACCAAGTGCAGCCCTAATACTTCAGCGCCTCACCCAAAACCGCCCCTCCGGTGTTCTAATAGCCTGCGAAAACAACAGCTATTTATTATTATTTTCTATTAGTTTCAAGCTAACTGCCTACTCCTTTATAGAATGCTCTGGATTTTTTGAGTGGGTTGTCACTAAGAAGTCCCCACTCTGGACCTTATATGCCCGGCTTAGTACTCTTATACCTGTTTTTGAGATCTGCAGGTGCCTGGGTGTCGTCGCGTTTGAGGTGCTACAAAGAGCGCCACTTTTCTAAATTTACCATAAATAATCTTACTATATATTGAACTACCAGCTTCCCCGAAAAAGATGTAATAGGTGCAGAATAAACAACAAAGGAATGGGAAAAAAGTAAGAAAAAAAATCATAGACTGTAGAAAGCGGACGCATGGAATAGTAGAGGGGGCGGCAAACAGCTACCAAACTCGGCGTTTGTAACCGGGTCCTTTCCGCGCATTGCTGCCTGGCCCCTTTGCCAGTTGTCACTCTAGTAGGTTGCTGCTGTTAGAAACATCTAGTGCTGCGTGGCATACTTCTGCTGGAAAGATTGGCGCCGGCACTAAGGGTACTATTCTGTTTCATGATGGCAAACTCTCAAACTAAGGGAGATGTAAGGGATTGACAGTGCCAAGGTGCTGTGAAAAGTTTCCCCTTCTGGTCTAATTGGAAAAGCAATGAGTATTACTCTCAGAGGTTCTGGGTCTAGTGGTGTCGTTTTTATAAGTTCTATATTGTTGGAAATCATGAGCTGCGCATCATGCTCCCGGAAGTACCTCGAATGCTCTGTTTTGTCTCCTGGTCGAAGCAGGTTTCTGACCAGAGAAGTTTTGTCGGCAGAGGGACTCTCCCTTCTACTGAGACCAGTGTTACAGACTAGTGATGTGGAACGGAAAGCATTTTCTCTGCACGCCAGTATTAGGGAAAGAGGATGAAAGTTTCTCCACGGAGGGTTGGGAGCTTGGATAAGATGAGATTATAAGTCATCTATTGCTTTCTTCTTTTCCTTCAAGTAACTGAGGCCATCGACGTTCCCAAATTGTTTTTTCCTTCCTAATTTGTCAGCCTTTTCTCTTTCTCGCTATCGTTACTTTCTTTTATACAAATCGAAAGTCTTGGGTGAAGCCGTATCTTGTTGTATCACCCGCAGAATATATCAGGCCCATAGCTATTTTCCCTCGCCCACCACACTCGTTCATATTATTGTTCACCTTTTCTACTACTCTCATTACCAATATCATTCAAAAGAAACCCACACTTCCTTAACTGCCCGCCGCTTATCTTTGAAACCGTCCTTCGAAGCTTCCATCCAGTAAGGTATCGCTTTTGTGTAAAAGCTGCAGTGTATAGGGGGTTCTCAAGTGGCTAATGTCTTCTAGCGTTACGTGGAATAGGCTTTGATGTATCACGCTCGAGTGCACTGTCGCTTGCACGGCTAGTACCCAGTGTTCCCAACCGTCCGGGGCCCTACCGGGCGACTCCCAAGGGCCCTGGACGGTATGGGACGGCCATGTGCAGTCCATCCCGGGCGGTGAAAGTAGAGGACGGCCGTATTTCGATAGGGCTGCGGGCCCTACTGGGTGAAACAGGGTTTGCAAAGGGGGCGGCGGGCCACTGTTATGGGCAGTAGGGGACAGTCGGGGAGTGCGGGGGACTATCGTGTTGTCCGCAAGATATTCTGTAGTAGGACCGTAGTCCCTTATAGTCCGTCCTGGAGGTTCCAAAAGGACGGACTACCGGTTATAGTCCGCCCCGTCCTATACAAAAGAGGGACGGACGGGACGGTTAGGAACACTCCCGGCACCCAAGTGCCATACCAATGCATTCAGCAGTACCACAATCTGTCGCCCCCACCCCGCAAAACACCAATCACTTTCATGCACCTCCGACCGCTGCTCTTGTAGTTATTCGGGGACCGTTTAGTCCTTGTTTTAATCTTTATCACCTTCCTTCTGCATAACAACACATCCTTGGAGCCTATATTTGTCATGGTTTCCACCTCATAGATTCTGGCTCTTATCTGTTTTTCATTCTTCTAAAAGTGTTCGGGTCTTTCGTGCGGAAAGTACATATGCTGCTACACTGTATTGTAAATCACCGGCACTCTAACTAACCCCTTGCCTATCTACTGAGACTCAAAGGACTGAAGACTTTTCCGGGGGTGTCCGAAGTTTGTAATGCTTAGAAGCGAATTGATAAGCAAGACGGAAGGTTCTAGAGATTACTACGGACAAGTGTACTATAGATTGATATTGCGGAGCAAGGAAAGGAAATAGACGAGGAGGCAAGAGGGAAAGTAATTGGTCGGCAAAGCGGGGTAGAGTGATGTCTCTAGAATCATAAAGAAGCTAAAAGAGGGGTAAAAGGCGGGGTCATGCGGATGACCAAGGAGACCGGTCTGGATGGAAGAAGTTATGATATGGATGTATATAAAGACCGCTGCTTGAGAGGTAGTGGGAGAGAGTAAGAGAGAAACGGAGCAGCAATCAGAGAGAAAGTCAGAATCGAGTTACGGCCGACAGTCAGAAAGACAAAAAGCTTCCAACGCGCAGAAGTGAGAATATACGACTTCAATTCGTTTTACACCGGTGGCCTGATTCGGGTGCTTGCCCAGAACCCGTCCGTGGTTGCTAGCAGAGTGGAGGCTAATCCAAGACCTTGTGGTCCCTACGGGCCCCGGGTGAATTGAGCTTGAGGTGTCAAGATTGAAGAATCCCGCTGCGCCCTATCGTAGTTTCATTCCCGGGTTGGTGTAAACCAGCTGCAAAAACGGGACTTATATGAGAGCGCCATAAATACCCTCCGTAATTCCAGTTCCTATTTACCGCTCTTATGGTCTTCGATTCTTCGTCCGTCCATCCGTCCAATTCGACAATTATGCACACTAAGCTTAACTCATCGGCAGCAAACTAGACATCCGGAACAAAGCACACCTCCACTAGCCACTATAACCGTTACGAAGACTAAAGGCAATCACAAAAGTATCTTGTTTTGTCGGGGTGATCTGTCATTTTAGTGACGAAGGTCTGCTTCCCCTAACCCTGAACGCACTTTGCCTCTCCGGTGGAGGTACGCGTACTGTGGTAGCGGCTTGGCTTGAGCGTTCATCCAGACCTGTCTATGGTCACCGGGAGAGTGGCGGTTCGGCAAAGACTCCGCAGAACTCACAAGGGAAGGTGGGGCGGGGCTAGGGGTGTCTTGCTGAAGGTATCGAGATATCTTGCGGCAGGCGAATTCCTCGGCCGGGGTAGGCCCAGCACAAAGACAGGACCCATATATTATGATATTGCAGTGGTTATTTGCTATAACTTAGGTTCTTAGCTAGGCCCCTGCGACCCCCAACCTTCTACATCCATCCATCTATCTCTGCGTCCCAATTCAACAAATATCAATACCCGGATCATCTACTAATCCACCACCGGAACTACTGGGGACTAGGCTTCCGAAATCGGATACACCCCCACTCACTACCTGACTCAGAATAGTTACCAAGAGCAATTATGGACATCAGTGATGGCACCATGATTGCCTAACTCTAACCCGAAATAAGTGATTCTTTTGGAAGATGCTCGCGTTTCGACTCTAGAGTGGGTAAGAAAAGAAGATGGGGAGGTAACAAGGCTGGAAGTGGCACTCTTAATGTTTATACCGCATGCGGGGCGGCTACTGAAACCCGTCGACCTTTGGCGTGCTCCAGAACTCAAGGTAGAATCTGATCATATCGTGCCGAAAGGATTCCTGCCGTGCTGGTATTGTTGAGGCGTTGGTTAGGGCTTGTCACCCTGGGGACGGAGGCTTCGCTTGACCCACCACGCCCCGCAGGAGTATCATACCTTTATACCAACCAAGCTTTTTGTGCGCAACTCAATCGATAATGACCGAAACTTGCATGACGTACCTCAGATTTCAGACCGTCAGGGAGATTTGGTACACACGCTTTGTTCCCCCCTTAGTCAACAACCTTCCCTACATATTCGGGGGTTCATACTAGGAGAGAGGCGACAAGAGACGTGCTATTACTTGCGGTCAAGCTTTTTAGATATATTGGAAGCCTTATATTTGCAAAGTTGCTTTTGGTGGAATCCATATCGGGGGCTCTGTCTATGTAAAAGTGACACCCTCACCAACCTTCAACCCACAGAGCTCACCGGAACAAACCGCACATCAATTTGCGGTGCTGCTAAAATT